GCCTAAAGTCGACCCCAAAGGCAAGGAGCCGGAGAGAGATTTCTCCAAGATCGGCCCTCACGTCAAGTGCTATAAATGCCAAGGGTATGGACACGTTGCTGCGAACTGTCCGACCCGTCACAAGGTTGCTATAATCGATGGACAATACGAATTTGAACCTGAGCTTGATAGCGACGAGTTTATCCATCAAGTTGACGATGATACCGATGATTTCGAGGATGAGGCAGATGATACTGTCTTAGGTTGTCTTAGGCAAATTGAAACTCCTACCGTATCAGTCGTCAGATGCGCCACCTCCCAATCCAAGGCTGTTGATGATTGGAGACGTACCTCTATTTTCCATACGTTCACAAAGATTGGTGATAAAAATTGTAAAGTGATCGTGGACAGTGGAAGCTGCATTAACGCGGTCTCCTCAGCAGTAATCGCTAAGCTTGGTCTTAAAGTTGTACCCCATCCTAATCCATATAAAGTATCATGGCTTAACGACACCGGACTCAATGTCCAAGAGAGATGTTTAGTCCCTCTCTAATTTTTCATTTATAAGGACAAAGTTTGGTGTGATGTTCTGAAAATGGATGTGGGTCAAGTTATTCTTGGGCGACCCTGGCTATTTGATAACGACGTTCATATCTTCGGGCGATCCAATATGCTACTATTCGAGCATGACGGGAAGAAGGTCAAGATCCTTCCGGTTCAACCGAAAGGTAATGACAAGAAGCCCGATCCAAACAAGTTTTCCCAAGGCGTTAATCTAATTGGAGCTAAAGAGATTGATCGTGAACTGTCCAATGGAGCTCCCATTTTCGCCCTCGCTGCTAGAGAAGCTCCTAAGGATATTGCTAATATAGCTCCCCCAGAAGTCGCTCCTGTGTTGGAAGAGTTCTCTGACGTCTTCCCTGAGGACCTCCTGGACCAGTTACCCCCGATGCGTGATATTCAACACGCAATTGATTTAGTCCCGGGAGCAACCCTTCCCAATTTGCCTCACTATCGAATGAACCCCAATGAGCATGCAGAGTTAAAGAGGCAAGTTGATGAGCTGCTGAAGAAAGGCTTTGTGAAAGAAAGCATGAGCCCTTGTGCGGTTCCCGCATTATTAACGCCCAAGAAAGATGGTACATGGCGTATGTGTGTGGATAGCCGTGCAATCAATAAGATCACGGTGAAATATCGTTTCCCCATTCCCCGGTTGGATGACATGCTTGACTTAATGTCTGGAGCCACCATCTTCTCTAAGATTGATCTTAAGAGTGGCTACCATCAGATTCGCATCCGTCCTGGTGACGAATGGAAGACCGCTTTCAAGACGAAAGACGGATTGTATGAGTGGATGGTCATGCCCTTTGGCTTGACTAACGCTCCGAGCACTTTTATGAGAGTGATGACTCAAGTACTCCGCCCCTTCACAGGAAAATTCTTGGTGGTGTACTTTGACGATATTCTTATTTACAGTAATTCTCGCGAGCAACACGTGGACCATCTGCGTCAAGTCTGTGCCGTGTTAAGAAAAGAGCAACTTTATGCTAATCCTAAGAAGTGTACTTTTCTTACACAACAAGTCATTTTTTTAGGATTCGTGGTCTCGTCTGAAGGAGTATCCGCCGACCCTGAAAAGATTAGAGCTATTGAAGAATGGCCCGAACCCAAGAACATTAGAGACGTTCGAAGCTTTCACGGACTCGCTACTTTTTATCGTCGGTTTATCAAAGGCTTCAGTACCATCACGGCCCCTATTACCGATTGCTTGAAGAAAGATGAGTTCGAGTGGTCAAAAGCTGCCACCAAGGCATTTGAAGAGATCAAGCAAAGGATGTCGCAAGCTCCTGTTATGCGTCTGCCCGATTTTTCTAAAGTCTTCGAAATTGCGTGCGATGCCTCTGGTATTGGTATAGGTGGAGTCCTATCTCAAGAAGGACATCCCGTTGCTTACTTTAGTGAGAAGCTGAATGATACTAGGCAACGTTATTCCACCTATGATAAAGAGTTCTATGCGGTGATACAATCTCTTCGACACTGGCACCACTATCTGCTACCACAAGAATTCGTCATATATTCTGACCACGAAGCTCTTCGATATATTCACTCCCAAAAGAAATTGAACGCTAGACATGGTCGTTTGAGAAAGTCAAAGAACAGTATGAATCGTGCCCTGATTTTAGCGAAGTTTATACTTTGCTGAATGATGGAGTGACCCGTGAGATTGATGGCTTTCTCCTGAAGGATGGATATATGTTCCATTTTCGCAAGTTGTGTATTCCCGACACCTCGCTGAGAGAATTCTTGATTTGGGAACTACACGCTGGAGGCCTTGCAGGACATTTTGGGAATAACAAGACTGTCGAAGCAGTTGAATGTCGTTTCTATTGGCCAAGTATTAAACGTGACGTTGTTAGGCTAGTGGGTCGATGTCACACCTGCCAACTAGCTAAGCAACGTAAGCAGAACACTGGCCTGTACACCCCTCTTCCTGTCCCAAATTGTCCCTGGCAAGATATCAGCATGGACTTCGTGTTAGGACTCCCAAAGACAATTAGAAAACACGATTTTGTCCTTGTTGTTGTGGACCGATTCTCCAAAATGGCCCACTTCATACCATGCTCCAAAACTTCTGATGCTTCTCATGTAGCCAAGTTATACTTTAATGAAGTTGTTAAACTGCACGGGCTTCCGAAAACAATTGTATCCGATAGGGATGTTAAATTTACTAGTTATTTCTGAAAAACCCTTTGGCACAAAATGGGAACTAAGCCTCAATTCTCGACGGCATTTCATCCCCAAACCGATGGTCAGACTGAAGTAGTCAACAGGAGCTTAGGAAACCTATTGAGATCGCTAGTAGGCGAAAATCTTAGGGATTGGGATCAACATCTGCCTACTGCTGAATTTGCTTATAATAACTCTGTTAATAGGTCTACAGGTGTCAGTCCAGCTGAAGTCGTGTATGGTTACAAACCTAGACAGCCTATAGATCTTGTCCCCATGTCTGCACATCATAGAGTATCTGAGTCAGCATCTGTATTTGCATCTCGCATTCATGACTTGCATAAAGAAATTAGTATAAAGATCAATGACAGCAATACTAACTATAAAATGCGAGCAAATCTAAGAAGGAGGTTTAAAGAATTTAGTGTAGGCGATTATGTGATGGTCCGGATACGTCCGGAACGGTTTCCTCCAGGAACTGTTAAAAAGTTACATGCACCGGAACGGTTTCCTCCAGGAACTGTTAAAAAGTTACATGCACGAAGTGCAGGGCCTTTTAAAATTCTCAAGAAAATTAATGATAATGCCTATGTTCTCGACCTTCCTGAAGGTTTTAATATTGGTTCAACTTTTAATATTGAAGATTTAGTAGAGTACAAAGGCCCACATTTTAACCCTGACAACCCACTGGTTGATGAGCCTACCCCTGAGCCTATTTCTGAGAGCTCCCCTTTACCTCCACTTCCCCAGATATCACCCCCATATACAACACATGACATTGATAATATTATTGATGATAATATTGTTTCTACTAGCAATGGTGGTATCCGCAGGTATTTGCGTGTCGTGTCCGTGTCGGACACACGTGTCGAACACACGTATCCTATGTATTTTTTAGGATTTGCCTCGTGTCGGCGTGTCGGATGGCCGTGTCGGATCCGTGTCCGTGCTACATAGCATCCAGGCACGTGCACGAGACTTTCGCCGTGTTTATCAGCGTAGGAGACGCCGTATTCCAGCCGTACATCAGATCGTAGGGATATGGTTTTGATACTTTAGAAATTCTAGTTATTTTCAGTTAGTGGTTGGTTTCAGATCAGAATTGTTATTAGTTATTTAGTTTGTTATTGGATAAGATTTAGAGAGATTTGATTGAGTTTTTAAATTCTGTAATATTCTCTATATAAACAGTTGTAATCAGAATTAAGCAATAAATGAAAATTATTGAAATTTAGTTGCAATTACCTGTGGCTTGAACGTGTGAAACGTGGGTGTGAAACCCTAGATCGCCGCTCCCCCTCTTTCTGTTCAAACAACCACCGACGCTCCTTCCTCTGTCAAGCCGCCGCCTCCGTCCTCCACCTCCGACAGTAACCCCGCCCTCAACCACGCCGCCAGTCCCGAGTTCGACCCCCTCTGAAAGACCGTCACGCCCTCCTTCGTCTTCGCCATCGTCTAACCGCCCGCCGCCCTCGTCATCGTGGACCCGCGACCACAATCGCCATCGCGATTTCATCCCCATCGTCGTCGTGACGCCCTGTCCTGCCGTCCGCTCGCATCGTCAATCGTCGCCCTTCGCTCGTGAGCAGACGTCGCTCGTTTTCCCTCAGGTCGAAGTCGGGCAGACATCGGGTCTAGGGCTTTGAATTGATCCGGTCTTCACATTTGGGATTGATTTATTTTGGTTCAGATCATCTTATTTCATACTTTGGTCTGGTTTATTTTGGTTAGACTTGATTGGTTCAGTTGGACCAGACCTTGATATTAGACCCAATCTGCAGTGTTCTGACTTTTGATTCCGCAGTTCGTTAGTGTATGGCTGATCCTGACGCTGAAGACTACGACCTCGTGCTTGACCCAGAGACTGGTATTGTTGATTTGCAGCTTTCCTCGTGGTTCGATTACCGGACGTCCGAGAGTGTTCCTGAATACGTCGAACGCGTGACTTATCAGCTTGTAGACAGTGTGGAGAGCAGTTTGGGCATTAGTTCTTGGCACCGACGTTTTCATCCAGATACGTCGCTTCATCCCAATTACGTAGCTCTTGGAGGAGAACTCCCGCCACTCACATTTGGAGTTTTTACACCGCCTCCAGAGGATCCTCCCATCGACCCAGTCCAACCCGACGAAGGTTTAATTTTTTTACGTCCAAGTATTTTCGAAATTGCTATTGCGTGCATGTTATTCTCAATCTTAGTATCAATTGCGATTATGCTGTATTCAGTTTGAATAGTGAGCGAGTGATTCTGTTGCTGAGTATTTCTGTTTGTCTAAATATTACAAATTGAACTGTATTAAGAGAACAAATCATTACATTAATTATCAGAATAATTTTACAAAGGTTCAAACTTAGTACATTGCAACTTTTGCTTAAAAACCATCGTTTGCTTCATTTTATTCTTGAGCTTCCTGCCTAGATTGATCGCTGATTTGGTGAAGCATTGTTGTCGTTGATTTGCACCTGCATTCACATTGTTTCACATCATATTCTCCTTAGCGAATTAAATCTTTCCATGAACGAGCCTCAACAACGTCCAAATTGGATAGAATGTTAACGGAGAGATTGTTTCGCTACATCTCGATGAGAGTAGCCTCGGAAACCTAATCACGAGAATACAGTGATTGGTTCCTGAATCTCCTGACAAAGTTACTTACGGACTCTGTCTTCTTCTGTTTTTCAGCTAGCAGGGTGATCATAGATACTTCTATGTCATCGTCGAAGAACCTAGCCATAAAGAGTCTTTCCATGTCCTTCCAGCAAGTGATGGATCCATGCTCCAATCTGCAGACCCATTCAAAAGCAACCCTCTTGAGGACACTAATAAAAAATCGAGTCATAATGGGATCATTTCCTACTATGTGTCCAGTTTGCGCCGGGAAATAGTAAATGTGCTGGGTAGGAGAACTCTTACCATCGAACTGCATGGGATTGAATGACTTAAACTTTGGAGGATAGGGAGCGGCATCCCATCTGGCAGGGTATGGCCTGACGATCCCCAATTCTCTAAAGTTTCTCTGAAGCTTCAAAACATTAAGCTGCTTCTGAAAATCGTCCAACTTCTGATCTCGGTCATTCTTACGCGGGTTGGACTCAGCTTCGGATGATTCAGAGTGAATATCAAAAATCTTTTCCTCCTCATCTTCTTCATTATCGCCATCTTGATTTCGACGGCTAGATTCCCGAGCACTGGGTGAAGGTCGTCGGTGCCTTGATCCTGAGGATTCGACGGTAGCTTTCTTCATTTTCTTCTCCTTAAGGAGTTTGTCCATTATGTCCTCCAAGCGTCTGATGGTTTCTTGTTGTTGGAGGAGAGCAACGTGTTTGATGTGAAACGACGTGCGTGTATTCAGGAGATCACCAATTTAATTGAAATTACGCAATGTTTCACCAACTAAATCACGATCGTGTAGGAAATAGATTCACAATTTCTTAATATTGAATTAAATTGCAATCGTAGTTCTAAAGACCAGTTGAAACTTATTGAAATTAAATGCAATTCAAGTTACGATGGTATTGTTCGGATCTCAATATCAAAATTCAGTAAAATATATAGTCGACAGATCACACATCTCACCAATTGTAAGTGGAATAGCAGATAATTGATAATAATTCAGAGATGTAATTCAATTGATGAACCAACAATATTCTAATAGTTAAAATTGAAAATTACCTTATAGGATCCGTGGTTTTAATTCGTTGTATTATCGTCGTTGTGCAGCTTGATCAGATCTGGTGCAGAGGAGCTTGGCTAGGACGCTGCTGGAGGATGAGGGGATCTGGTGCAGAGGTACTCGGCTAGAAGGAGGGCATCGCGGGGAAGAACTGAGGCGTCGTCGAGGCGGTGTTGAAGGACCAGCGAGAGGGGGGGAACGGCCTGGCGTTCCTCGCTGCTGAGGAGGCGGCGGTCGCGGATCGCGGCTGACAAGGAGGCGTGCGCGATCGTCGGATCGGATCAGCGAGCGGGCAGCCTTGTCGGCGTTGTTGGCGACGGAGCTGGTCGTCGGGGATGGGAGAGGGGCGGGGCTGCTCCTGCTTGTCGAAGGAGGAGGGTGTCGCGGCTGTGCGCGGGGGTGGAGGAAGAGATGGAGCAGCCACTGTCTTCGGTAGGAAAGAGGAGAGGAACAGGGCTGATGAGCGCGGCGGCGTTTGGTGACTTGAGTAGAAAGGGGCGGTCGAGCGGCTGTAAGGGAATGACTGAAAGAAGGGGGTTTGGATCTAGGGTTTTCTCTCTTCTTTTATATTTGGTGCTTGATAAAGAATGGAAGGTTGTGATTTGTTTAGAGAGTGAGTGGGTGGTGGGGATAAATTGATGGGATTGTAATAGTTTGCTGAATGTAAAAATAATGGCTGAATGAAATGGGGAATTGGATTTTGATAGAGGGTAGAGAACTAGTGTTTCACACACCTAGATCTAATATTTGGGTTTCACACACCAAATACATAGGGGAAGAATTTTTATTTCTTTAGAGAAAATTCAAACATTTTATTTCTTCAATAATTCATTATTTGATTACAATTCAACCCGCCTTTAAATAGGCTTACAAAAAAGACTAAACTCTCTCCACATCCGATGTGGGACTAAAGTAACACTCTTATTAAGCAAAACTAACTATAACTCTTATTAAAAGAAAAACAAATGAAAATACAGACTCGACTCTATCACAACTAAAACCACATCATAGGGACCCGATGCAAAGCTGAAACATGACGTCTCTTGCGCTGATAAACATGTCGAAAGTCCCGTGCACGTGCCTGGATGTCCTGGATGTTCGCATCAGTGTTGTTCTTCCAGTCTTCTTGTCATTTCTTCTTCATTCCCAGCCATGTGAGCACTCACTTTCTCACTTTGATCAGTGCTAGGTGGCTGAGAATTTGCAATGGCAGAGTTTTCAACCTCTTCATTGGTTTCATCTGCTAAATGTCGATAATCAAGCGGAATTACCGAACCAGTACGGACACGAGTGTGCTGATAGACACATTCTCGCTCAGTGATCAAATATTTCATCCCCGGAGAAAATTCAGGGTCAGAAGAATAAGGACTAGCTGACTCTTCGCCTTTCATTCTGCTATTCATGTTGATAGTAACCTTCACAGGTTTCTTCTGATTTCTGTGACGAAAGCGTCTTCTTCTGGACGACGAAACTGTTGACGGTTCAGATAATCGCTTGAAGACCGAGGACCTTGATGTTGGGCCGCCACACTGACATTTGGCTAGCACTGAGGAGATAAGTTTCTCACAATTGTAATTGAATTTTATCTGGCTTATACTGCGCTTACGAACCAAGTAATCACAGAGATCAGTAACATGATCACCCCCTGTTAACTCAGGTAACTTGCTTATGCATGCACAAGAATCTCTAAGTGTTAGAAATTGGCGAGCCTGGTTGGCTAGACGAACCTCATGCTGAAGACGGAGTTCGTCGTCTGAGCGCACTCGGACGCTTGGGCGAGGCTCATGTATGATACGAGGTTCGTCGATTGGGTGAGCCTCATCATTCATGCGAGCTTTGATATTCGGACGAACCTGGTTCGGGGGGCGAACCTCGTATTTCATGCGAGGTTCGTTAATCGAACGAATTTAGTTCCAATGATGGATTTGTCATCTAGGTCGAACCTCGTCTTGGACCCTTGATGTTTCTCTGTAACAGTGCAAGTCTGAGGTTGAAGGCGAGATTCATCTTTTCGACGAGGTTTGTCACTTTGTCGAGCCTGAGTCTTCCTATTCTGAGCGGCAGAGCAAATTTGCACCGGTTGTTTTGGACGGCCTCGTTTTGAAAGTGAGGTTCATTAGCCGAACATATTTGAATGCATGGGCGAGGCATGTTGTTTCGATGAGCCTCGTGTTGAAGACGAGGTTCGTCATTCAAGCACTTTGGATACAGGAGTGAGGTTCATCATTTTGACGCACTTCAGCTAATTGGCTTTCGGCAGACTTGTAGGACTTAGACATGTTGTCTCGTGACCGATAGTGAAAACCGTCCAACGAGACAAAGGTTCGAGCCTTACGAAGAGCCTGATTCTGTCGTCAACGTTGTCTTGCACGTCTGGAAAGCGGCTTAACAGCGGGTTTCGTAGTAACCAAAGTTTGGCGAGGTTGCTCAATAACAGCAACCACTGTTTTGCGAGGTTGCTTAACGACCCACCTCTTAGCCTGGCGGCTAGTTTTCAGAACTTTTTTTTTTTGAGGCAAAGATTTCTCCTCGAGACTAACTCGAGTTGAATCATCGGAAGCCACATGGGCTGAAGTCTCATAAGAGACTCTACAACACTTTCGTGCCTTCGTGAGACTCGAAGTTCCAGAGGAGAGGAACTCATACTTGGATTGGTCGAACTCGAGACAAGAGTTTTGACCTCGATTCCCACCGTGATCTGATCTGATTGCGCCACCACTAGTTCGTCAGAAAGAACAGTTCGAAAAATTAAAGTTGATTGATTCTTATTTTAAGAATAAGTTCTATCACTTGGTAAGAACCTTTTACAATCACTCACTCTCTTGATTACAGATGAAGAGAAGATAGATTTGACTTCTCATTTGTTTAAAAATGGGTTCTTGGTGACGAAAATATGCTTCTCTCGATGCTCAAGCCGAAGTTGTCTCCCGTTGACGATCAGAAAAAGATCACAAAGCTTCTAACAATGGTTTAGATCACGAGAATGCAGACTCTAATCTTCCTTCACGTGATGGCCAAAAATCTTTCAAAAGTCTTCTCTTCATAGCGCTCATGGCTATTTATAGAGTTCGTAGCATGTAACTGACGTGCTTGAATTGGGGGTAGACGACATAACTGTCTTTTCAATTCAGCCCACGTTGGTTAAAGGAGCGTAACGTGCTCCTGAAGTTTAGCACACATGGCTAACTAAGTTTTCAGATCTGTTACAGCTGGATCTTCTGTGGACGATGAGCCTCGCTACATGGCGAAGTTTGTCAGATTGGACGAGCCTCAATATACAGCGAGGTTCGTCTTATGAGGCAAGCTTTGCAATATAGCGAGCTTCTTCTGACGAACTTTAACTTCGTCTGACGAGCTTCGTCTTCACTGATGAGCTTCGTCTTCATTGACGCGCTTCAAATCTTGTTTCCAACAACAAGCTTTGTTGTTTGAGACGAGGTCCATCATTGTAATGACCAACGTCATGCTTGTTATGAGCTTCAACGCTCCAAGGCCAAATAATTAGCATGATCTATGAAGATCCATGAGAGTGGAGGAGAGATAGAATTTTTGACTAGCATCTCAATCCCCTCCTCCTTGCATGTTGATCATGTCTATTTATAAGCTTAGGATCATTATGGAGTGAGTTAATGGGCTTTAACTCCTCTTATAATGAGGGAGTTAGTGGTCATTAACTCCCACTTAAATGGGTGAGTTAGTGGTCATTAACTCTCCTTAAATGAGTGAATTATTGATCATTAACCCTCCTTAAATGAGTGAATTATTGATCATTAACCCTCCTTAAATGTAGCCTCTAAAAATTATGACAGACGAGGTTCGGCTATGCACGAGGTTCGTCAATAATGACAACGGTGAACTTCATCATTAATGACGAACTTCGTTTCTGGGCGAACTTCGTCTTCAATGACAAAGTTCGTCTTTTTGAGGAGTGAGATGACGTTTGACAAGGTTCGTCTGCATATGGACTTCGTCTCTTGGATAGGCTTCATCTTTTTTCTAGAGGATTTTTGTCTCTAGGCGAACTTCGTCTTCAATGACGTCCATCATCATGATGGGCTTCGTTGGCTGAGATGAGGTTCATCATCATGACGAGCCTCGTCATGCTTATAGCGAGGTTCAACCTTGCTTTATTCCTTAACATTTTTTAGTGCCTACAACTATGTTTTCATAGTAAAGCAGATCTTCTAAACGGGGCATATACAAACTTATTCAGTTCTTATATCACTATTCTTAAATGCGACAGATTTTCCTAAGAGGGAAAAAAATTGAAACATCGAGGTACAAAATTACTCCTGCTGTTGGAAGAAACAGATAAATGATGTAGGGTAATCGGGTAAGGGGTAATAGGTTTACTCTTATTAACCGCGCAAGTAGAATGGAGACTGTCATAAATTTGATATAGGAAAAGAAGCATGAGAAATAAAAACACACCTGGAAAATTGAGGTACATCCATATATGAAGTGCTCAAAGCAGCTATAATTACAAGAGCAGTCACTAACTGTATACCCATTGCCTTTTGGATAGTTTCCAAGCCAAAATCCTATACATAGTGCAAAAGCAGATTTTAATGGAATTATGATGCAATGATACTCGACAAAGAGGAAAATCTATTAAAAAAATTAATGGCATTAAAAGAAGAATCCATACCCTTAGAGTAATAAAGAATAAGCTGAAGGATAGAATAGCTGACATAAAGCAGTATGAACAAAATGACCCAGCTAATTTTGTGCTTAAAAGATACAGAAAATAAGCACTTGCTGTTGCCATTGATGTAGTAGTCCCAAGCAAAATCAGGCGAATATCAGTTTCACCAACTACAGAGAGCAAATTCTTTCGGGTCTGCTCTAGAGAAAGTAGTGCAACAAAACCATACGCCATCATACCGATCACTGGCAGAGGAACACCTGGCAAATGCAAAACGATCAATCATGAACCCTCTTTCAAAAACACGCCACCTGCATATATAGATATTTGAACCATATGAAAAGCCAACAAATAATCAGAAGTTATAAACTGTGAAGATAACATCTTAGCTATTTTTTATATTTGATAAGATCGTGAAGACAAAGGCAGTTTCCAGGACTTGCAGAGAAGAATGTTAGAAACTTGCAAGTTAAAACTAGATAGTGTTCATATTGACAAGAAAACCAAGTGGTTATCAGAATAGAAAACACATATTACCAAATACAGATCAAAGAAGCAGCACATAACTAGTGCAAACCACTAGTTTTCTATAATTTCCAAAGCAAGCGTCCTTTGGCTATTTAGGATTTTGTTGAAAAATTAACATCAGTGAAATCCTTGTAGAACATCTAAATCTTATCAGACTTAGCAATCAGTAAGAGACAAAAATATACACCTAATAAAGGTAAAATTCTGAGTGCCACACTTCCATGCCTGCTTACCCACAATGGGGAAACCAGGAATTTGTTTGGAAGGATTGTATGCTTTCATTTCTTTCTTTCTATATAATCCAGTTTTTTTCCTTTTTCTTATCCTAAAATATGCAACTTTGTATGTAATAAGGCATGCATAAATATCCTCATAACATGAATATGACATGCAGAAGACGACTAATGGATGTGCTTTTAATCTCTCTTTCTTTTCTTTTTAGCTATTACAGTGTCAATCGACTACAAGCAGTAGGAATCCGGTGCTCTGATTCCCCAGTTCATTCATTTGTTTGAGACTTGTAGAAGTACACACTTGTTTCTAGTGATCTAGTCCTTCTTAAATGGAGATACCAACAATGAAATCAGCTATAGGAAACTAAGAATGAATGCATTAAACAGGAAAAGGATGATGACATAAGCAGCTATAGTTTAGTAATTTAATGGATTTTTTTATAAGACTGATAAAAACTTAAATCATAAGAATTCTCGTGATGGAAAAAAAATCTTACACTAGGATAAAGAAACCTCCATAAAAAAGAAAAAAATTACAGTTCTGCACATTAATGAAGACGAGTGTCCTCACAGATTACGATGAGCGGCTTTATATCATAAACTCGAGTCACTACGTAACCAGCCTGCGTTGATGCATGTCTATATATTAACTAAAAAATTGTTTCGCACACTTTAGATGGGGAATTTCAAACCCATAAACCCCTACAAGGAAGGAAGTGGCAGCACTGCTTGAGCTAACTCACTCAGTGAATTTACTGGAGTTTAAACATAAAGTTGCAATATCAAATATAAGGAGTTAAATCGTCAAATATCTCTAGTTTTCGAGAAAACCCACAGCAGCATCAATAACAAAGCCTTAATCCCAAAAAAATTCGGGTCGGCTACATGAATGCTATTACTTTTCCCATTCAGTTCTATTATGGGTCATCTCCTCCATTAAGTTAACTATTACAATATCATTTTTAATTGCTTTCCACCAGGTCTATCTCTAGTCCTCTTTGCCCTATTAATTGTAACCTTATCACTTCTCCTAACCGCTTTATTTCCTAATGAGTAGATCACCGTGTCGGGTCGTTTTGAGTGGCATCTCCGTTGTCGTCGATATCAAGCTCTTTAGATACTGAAGCAAGATGTTTTAGAAATCTATAGAAGTTCATAGTAAAATCGTCCATAGGCAGTAGTCATTTATAATTTGGCAGCAAGAATTATTCACTTAGAAATCCTAATTAAATTCTTACAAAATTAACAGCCACAGACAGACAAAGGGAAGAGGCAGGATACCAAAAACAGAGGAGTAATCACTGTTGAGCACATCCCTGCAGCTCCCCCCTCCAACAGCGCAAAAAGCTTCAGAATTCGTGAGCTTCAAATAGCTCAGGTACCCAGTTTCAAGAAATCCCAAGGTCCCGAGCCCAGCACACCAACTGTTTGTGGAAATGCCCAAGAGAGAAGAACCCTTTAATGGGGCCTCAGGGTCGGGTTCAGGAGATGGGTCGGAGCTGTACTTGATGGAAATTACTGGTGCTCTCTGAAACAACAAAGGAATCCAAGTAAAGATTAGTAATCTTCTGTTTGGAAAAGTTTGGTAATTGTGAGAGAGAGAGAGAGAGAGAGAGAGAGAGAGAGAGAGAGAGAGAGAGGAGACCTTGAAGCGCAGGATACCAAAAACAGAGGAGTAATCACTGTTGAGCACATCCCTGCAGCTCCCCCCTCCAACAGCGCAAAAAGCTTCAGAATTCGTGAGCTTCAAATAGCTCAGGTACCCAGTTTCAAGAAATCCCAAGGTCCCGAGCCCAGCACACCAACTGTTTGTGGAAATGCCCAAGAGAGAAGAACCCTTTAATGGGGCCTCAGGGTCGGGTTCAGGAGATGGGTCGGAGCTGTACTTGATGGAAATTACTGGTGCTCTCTGAAACAACAAAGGAATCCAAGTAAAGATTAGTAATCTTCTGTTTGGAAAAGTTTGGTAATTGTGTGAGAGAGAGAGAGAGAGAGAGAGAGAGAGAGAGAGAGAGAGAGAGGAGACCTTGAAGCGCGAGGAGTGGGCAGGTAAGGGGAGAGGAGAGCGGGAGATGGCGAGGGCTGAGGAGATGCTCGCCATTGATGAACAACTGAGGATTGCTGTAATTTTAAGACAATTTATCTCTTCTCTTCTCTGTGTCTTTTTTTTTTTTTTGTCGCTCGAGATTTTTCAGTTGTACGTTTTTGTCTTCATTTGTTGTCTGAGGAGGAAGACACAAGATTTGCGGACTCGAAATTGGTCAGCGTATAGGCGTTGGATTGGGCTAAGCACTCTAATGGGTTTGGACGTTTGGTAGACTAAATGGGCCTTCGGACGGGCTCATGATCGGGAGATGTTGAATGATGATAAATGGGCTATTAATTGTTTTTCATATTTCTATGAATTAAACAATGATAAACATCTGTTAAACGAAGCTGAGTGGAAAACTTGGGGCTAGTTTGGTATTGTATTTTTTTAGAGCGTTTTTGCATTTTTTTTACAATAGGTCAATTATGATATTTATTAATATTTTTTGCATGTTTATTAAAATTATTTATAGTTTAAAGTTGTGCTTTAGAAGCAATCTTTTTATGGTACTTTTGAAAGCAACATCCGCTTCTTTTTAAGTTTATGTGCGGCATATGGTTTTTATTTTTTGACAATAATCTTTAAGCATAGTTTAGTCAAACACTTAAATTATTTATTGAAGCATCTTTTGATATTTGATTACCAAACGGCTATTTTTAATATATTATTTGTTGATGTCAGATATTAATTTGACGGTAGGGTTTAGTGTGAGTTATGGAGAGTTTAGGGTCCTTCAATGTTCTTTGATGATTTGATTACTGAACAGAGACTTCGATCCTATGTACAAAGAATACGTAAGAGGATTGGAGTTGGGTTCTCCGATGGTTCCTCCGCCAGTCAGGTTAATATTGACTTTAGGTGGAGGAAAGAAAGTGTGAATGTTGTATGTTGTAGTGTGAGGGTTGCCTACCTCCATGCAATAGGCAATGTGCCTATTTATAGTAGATTCAGAAGTGTAGTTGTGTAATTTTAACTGAGTCCAACCAGTCGACTTTTTCAATTGATACTTTGTGTCTACAGCAGGTGGTTCGAGTTACCTTTGTGATTAATGCGACAGTGACACAGAGTTCATGTGCTGGCATGGTCCAATGAGCCGTTAAGACTTCGATGATGGTGTATTGATGATTTCGATCGTGCATCTGATGTGATGGTGACCGGCTATCATCGATGGGTTCCAGAAAGACCACATTTCATATCGGTTTCTAGTGGGAAGCCGAGAAAAAGACGCCTTTCAACTCGCGCATTCTGAATGAGAGAGCTTCTCTACTCGGTCAATCGAGTGAAAATGCACTAAGTTGGTTCTAGCAGCAGGGCCCGAGTGAGGATGCCTTTTGACTCGGCCCTCCTGAGGTTGGATCGGGTTGGCATAAATTTAATTTGAGACATGTGTCATTTCCTAGAATGAGATTAACACTTAGTCATGTTGTGCGCGGCGGAAGCTTTCTAGGGCAACACGAACAATAACTCGAACTAAAACCACAAACAATATGCAAACCAAAATCACAGCAAGAACACACAATTTACGTGGTTCGGCAAGTTGCCTACGTCCACGGGGCAAGGAGGGGGGAGTTCTTTCTACTAGAAATTAAGAGAATACAAATAGGGTTACAAATCTCTCAGACCAAACCCTAAAACAAAGCTCTAGATCTCTCAAAGCTCTCTCACAATTGGATGCAATGATTTTCTCTCTTTGACTGCTCAAATTCGTCCAACCTCTTCCCTAAACAAACAGGTTTAGGTATATATAGAACTTACAAAACGAACCGGGTCGAAAACCTGAAAAACTGATATCCGCTTCGTCGGTCGACCGGCCCGGTCGACCGCGATCAATTCCGGTCGACCGGCCCGGTCAACCGATCACCATCCAGCAGCAAAAATCCAGAGAGCCGTCGGTCGACCGGGCCGGTCGACCGACCTCCTTCCAGACGCACAGGAACCCTTGTGCACGAATGCGGTCGACCGGACCGGTCCCCCCCCGCCTGTTTTTCCTGATTCTGCTGCTGATGCTAAAATTCCTTCAATTCTCCACCTCGGCGAATGTTTCCACCAAAACTGAGCCGACATCAAACCATCTAATAGTTCCTCAACAAGTCCAGGAACAATACTCGAGCTGAAACATGATCTCCCCCCATCTTGATCAACTGATCAAACCGGCTGCATCTAAAGACTGCCTACGTATCCTCTTGCCCAAGGAATCAAGCCGAACGTAGTTCACCCAAATGGCCGCCAACGGCCTCAGCACTGAAGGATGTTCAACAACTTCAAACAATGACCAAATTTCACTCCTGAAACAACTTTGGTCAACATATCTGCAGGGTTGTCATTTGTGTGGACCTTCTCCAATATGACATCTCCATCATCCAAGACGTCCCGTACAAAGTGGAATCTGACATCGATGTGCTTTGTGCGCGCATGATAAACCTGGTTCTTTGCCAAATAGATAGCCGACATACTATCACAATATATCCGAATAGTCTCCTGAGTGATCCCCAAGTCCTCCAATAATCCACGCAACCATAAAGCCTCCTTAATAGCTTCAGTAACTGCCATATACTCTGCCTCTGTAGTAGAGAGAGCCACTGTGGACTGAAGCGTGCAACGCCAACATACAGGTGCACCTGCCAATGTAAAAGCATAACCTGACGTAGACGGGCGTTTGTCAAGATCTGCAGCATAATCTGAATCCACATAACCAATACAAGCCTGCCCGTCCTTCTCATCCTTCTGAAACACTAAACCAACATCCACGGTGCCTCGAACATACCGTAGAATCCACTTCACGGCCTCCCAGTGACCCTTCCCCGGGTCGTGCATGTATCTCGATACCATGCTCACGGCCTGTGACAAATCTGGCCTCGTACACACCATCGCATACATCAAGCTACCTACTGCACTAGCATATGGGACCTTCGACATATAATCTCTGTCCTCAACTGAAACAGGTGACATCAACGCTGAAAGCTTGAAGTGGGGAGCCAATGGTGTGCTAACTGCTTTTGCATTGCCATCAAAGCTGAATTTCTTCAACATCTTCTGCAAGTAGCTCTTCTGTGTAAGCTTCAATTTCCCCTTCACCCTGTCTCGCTCGATCTCCATACCCAATATCTTCTTTGCCTCTCCAAAATCCTTCATCTCAAACTCGGATGATAACTCCTTTTTCAGCTTTCGAATAGCTGAAGAATTCCTGGAAGCAATAAGCATATCATCAACATATAAAAGCAAATATATGAGCTCACCATCCTGTAGCTTGTGCATATAAACACATGGGTCATATGGGCTCCTTGTGTACCCTCGGCCAATCATAAAGCCGTCGAATCTCTTATACCACTGTCTTGGTGACTGCTTCAAACCATAAAGAGACTTCTTCAGCTTACAAACCAAATTTTCCTTTCCTGCAGCTTTGAAACCCTGTGGTTGTGTCATGTAGATCTCCTCATCTAAATCACCGTGTAGAAAGGCTGTCTTCACATCCATCTGGACCAAATCCAAATCCAACTGTGCCACCAACGCCAATAAAATCCGAATCGACGAATGCTTCACAACGGGTGAAAATACCTCGTTGTAATCAATGCCCTCAAGCTGTGCATATCCCTTGGCAACTAATCTGGCTTTGAACCGAATGTCCCCAATAGAAGATCCCTCCTTCTTCGCATATACCCACTTGCAACCAATAGCTTTCTTACCCTTAGGTAGATGTGCAAGTGTCCAAGTGTCGTTCTTCTGAAGAGACCGCATCTCCTCCTCCATAGCTTCCCTCCACCTGATCGAATCGGGGCTAGACTCTGCCTCCCTGAATGTGGCTGGAACCATATCATCAACGACCTCCACTGATAATGCATATGCGACCATGACATCATTATACCTAGCTGGCCGACGAATTTCTCTCCTCGGTCTATCTGCTGCAATGGTCCTCTGAACATGACCATGTTCCTGAGTCCCATGATCTACTGTATCTTGTATCTGCCCATCTGTCATCTCATCTCCTCCCAATGTCACCTCTGTAGGAGCCTCAATGGATACAGTGTTCTCTGGAGTGGATGGAGTCACATCATCCTCCACCTGCTGCGATATCTCTCCTGTCTGGTCTCCCTCCACCTGCTGAGGGGCTCGAGGCCTCATCATGTACGCCTCGTCAAATGTGACATCTCTGCTAATAACTATCTTCTTGTCCTGTGGATCCCATAACTTGAAGCCTTTGACTCCATCCCTAAATCCCACAAAGACTGCTTTCCTCGCTCTCGGATTTAATTTGCCATCACTGACATGATAATAAGCTGGACACCCGAATATCCAAAGCGACTCATAGTCACTAGCCTCCGAACCAAACCAACGCTCTAAAGGAGTCTTCCCGTCTATCGCAGTGCACGACAACCTGTTCATAAGATGGCTCGCATAAACCAACGCCTCGGCCCAAAAAGATCTAGGCAATCCACTCTGCGTCATCATACACCGCACCTTCTCCAGCAAGGTACGGTTCAATCTCTCAGCCACCCCGTTCTGTTGCGGTGTCTCTCGAACTGTGAAGTGTCTTCTAATGCCGTGATCCCGGCAAAACTGCAGAAACGGATCACTCTTGTACTCTCCACCGTTATCTGAACGTAGAGTCTTCACCTTTCTACCTGTCTGCAGCTCCACTTTCTTTTTCCACTCCACAAAAATATCCAGGACCTGATGTTTATGCTTCATCGGGTATACCCAATTCCTCCTGGAATAATCATCAATGAAAGTGACAAAATAGTTGGCCCCACCAAGAGATGTGTTCTTGGAAGGACCCCAAACGTCCGTGTGAATATAATCCAATGTACCTTGGGTGTTATGAACAGCGGTGCCGAACTTCACTCTAGTCTTCTTCCCAAGTACACAATGCTCACACAATTCCATCTTGCAGGTCTTAGCACCTTTCAATAGCCCCTGTTTAGCCAATGACTGTAGGGACTTATCTCCTGTGTGTCCAAGTCTCATGTGCCATAAGGTGGTAGTGTCCTCCTCTGTAGTGATAGAAGCTGCCAGACCCCCTGTAACTGTCTTGCCCTTCAAGTAGTATAGGTAGTTTTCCCTGACACCTCGCATCACCACCATAGAACCCTTCGTGACCTTCACTGTAGCATCCTCTAAGATCACTCGATATCCTGCTGCCTCCAAAGTCCCAAGAGAAATGATGTTCTTCGTCAACTGCGGCACGAACCTCACTTCCTTCAATTCCCTCACTACACCATCATGCATCCTGATCCGGACTGAACCAATACCACCAATAGGGCATACGTGATCATTACCCATAAGCACGACATCCCCTCTTTCCAGCTCCTCAAAGCTAGAAAACCACTCCCTCTTAGGGCAGATGTGATATGTAGCTCCCGAATCCATCATCCACTCCGTGGAATCCGCATAGCAAACCGACGGTAAAGCAGGGCATGAATAGCCTGAAGAATCTGAATCTGAATGCTCACCAATAGCTTTTGCAACATTCACTTCTGAAGCTTGTGCAGCTTTCCCCTTATTCTTTCCGGCTTTTTCTTTCCACTTTGGGCAGTCAATCTTCCAATGTCCTTCTTCTTTACAATACCGACATTGATTTCTACCAACACTCTTATAGGCACTCCTATTCTTTGACTTTGAGCGGTTGAACTGACGACGGTTTGGATCTCGGCCTCGAACTGCTAACGCATCTCCCGATGCCTTCTCGGAGGGTTCACCATCACTCTTCCTCAACTCATAGTTCACCAAAGCTGAGGTCACCTCCTTGTAGCTAACTGTAGTTCTTCCATTGATCATAGTGAGAACGAACGTACCATAATCATCTTCGGGCAACGAACACAGAAGTAGCATCGCCTTGTCTTCATCCTCAACTATAATATCAACATTGGCCATATCTGAAAGTAGCTTAGTGAAATTGTTGACATGCTCCCTGATGGAAACCCCTCTCTTCATCTTGAACTGGTAAAATCTCTTCTTCAAGTGAAGCCGATTCTCAATGCTCTTCGTAAGATATTTCTCATTGAGTGTTTCCCACATCTTCTTCGCCGACGTCTCGTTCATAACATCATAAATAAGATCCGGCGTCAAGCATGACCTAATAACACCACAAGCTCTACTGTTCATCTTTCTCCAAACCTTATCCTCCAACTCAGCGGGTTTCTCTTTTAACTCAAGAGTCTCCTCCAAATTCTGTGCATCCAAAGCATCCATCACCTGACACCTCCACAATCCAAAATTGATCTTGCCATCGAACTTCGGAACATCAATCTTCGTGTTATTGATGCTCAGACTCTGTATCGCCTTTGTTAGAGACGAACCTGACGTGCTTGCATCTCCCATGTTGTCGATCTAGCTCTGATACCAATTGTTGTGCGCGGCGGAAGCTTTCTAGGGCAACACGAACATAACTCGAACTAAAACCACAAACAATATGCAAACCACAATCACAGCAAGAACACACAATTTACGTGGTTCGGCAAGTTGCCTACGTCCACGGGGCAAGGAGGGGGGAGTTCTTTCTACTAGAAATCAAGAGAATACAAATAGGGTTACAAATCTCTCAGACCAAACCCTAAAACAAAGCTCTAGATCTCTCAAAGCTCTCTCACAATTGGATGCAATGATTCTCTCTCTTTGGCTGCTCAAATTCGTCCAACCTCTTCCCTAAACAAACAGGTTTAGGTATATATAGAACTTACAAAACGAACCGGGTCGAAAACCTGAAAAACTGATATCCGCTTCGTCGGTCGACCGGCCCGGTCGACCGCGATCAATTCCGGTCGACCGGCCCGGTCGACCGATCACCATCCAGCAGAAGCCCCAAAAATCCAGAGAGCCGTCGGTCGTCCGCACCGGTCGACCGAAACATCTGCGGTCGACCGGGCCGGTCGACCGACCTCCTTCCAGACGCACAGGAACCCTTGTGCACGAATCCGGTCGACCGGACCGGTCGACCGCCGCCTGTTTTTCCTGATTCTGCTGCTGATGCTGAAATTCCTTCAAGTCATATGATATACAATTGTATAAGTTGTTTCTATAAGTTTATTGTACAAACAACTTATTATAAGCTCCAGCAATACCAAACAGGCTCTTCGATTCTCTGCTCTTTGCAATGGGTCGACCGGACCGGTCGACCGCCGCCTGTTTTTCCTGATTCTGCTGCTGATGCTGAAATTCCTTCAAGTCATATGATATACAATTGTATAAGTTGTTTCTATAAGTTTATTGTACAAACAACTTATTATAAGCTCCAGCAATACCAAACAGGCTCTTCGATTCTCTGCTCTTTGCAATGCATTTGGTCTTCACTCGTAATTTTTAACGTTTTTCGTACAAATAAAAATATAAGGTGTTTTAAACAAAGAAATATAAATAGTCGNCCCTCACAAAAGGAAAAGATAAAAAAAAGAAAAAAAACTAATATACCGTTTATTCCCTTAAAAATTCGATAATTACAGTCTTTCATGCTTTGTGTCATGCACCAATATACTAGTAATAATTGAAAAAAGGGAAAAATGTTTCAAGGCCCCAAAACAAAAAAGCGGATGTGGGCAGGCCCCCTGTATTTTTTTTGGTGTGACAAACCCCCCAAATGAAGTCTTTGGTTGTTAGTTCTTTATCCTTTTATTCACTTAGTTGAGATTGTGCCGCACATTATTAACAGGGGATATGCTTGTCAAACTAGAATACCTATTTTTCTTATTATACACAAATACAGTATAAAGATTATGGACTAGCTACGATTAGTTTTTGAGATCCATACAACTTTGGGCTAAAAATGTAGATAGGCCCATCATTTAATCGCTAAAATTAATCTTTTTAAGTCCATTGTTCCCGCGGACCTTGTTAATAGATTTTGAGTTAGGGATCTATCTGTATTAAACTAAATCTTCAGAGGTCCATCTACAAAATAACCCGAATGCCTTTGTCGTCCTCTTTACATACTGGTTAATGCTAATAAACCTCCTATCGTATCACTCAGATATAAATAGACCCTCCTATAATTCTATTGGTGCAAATAAACACTTTTTTTGCTCTTTTAAGAGCCAAAAAATATTAACAATTAGGATGTATCCGCACCTAGGGTCCAAGAGTAAAAAGAAGGACAGATTTTCAAAACAAGCCATTTTTGAAATTTATTTTTAAAAAACGACCTGTTTCAACTTTAACTATCAAAACCGACACAGTTTCAACCTTAGGGCTGAAACTGGCTCGGTTTTGACGAAAAAAAAGTTCTCAAACTTCACGGGAATTGAACTCTCGTGAAGTTTTTTACATAACAAAACTTCACCAGACTTCAGAGGCTGAAACTAGGTCGGTTTTGGTAATTAAAGTTAAAACATGTCGTTTTTGTGGAATATTTTTGCAAAAAGTTTGATTTTGAAAATTTGTCTGTAAAAAGAATTTACGAAGAATTTACTCGAGGGCTTTATTTGTTGCAATGAGAGCTACAGGGTCTATCCTTAATAAGATAATAACTTGTCAGATTCCTTTTCCTATCATTTCATCAAAATTTTTATATCCCAATTAAAAAAAAATCCGATCAGTTCCTTTCGAAGTACAAAAGACGCATAAATGGAAAACCCTAGTTCCATTTCTTCAGAAAAACGACAAAAAATAACGAAATATTACTTAAGGTTTGTTTCTTTTGCTATTTCCCAAAGATTTCTTTTAGATTTTTCTTATTCCTCTTAATTGATTTCCAAGACCCAAAATGGCAAATTCTGTTGTTGCATTATCTAATTTGTTTTCCGTGTATTTGCTTTTATTTCTTCTCAGTTGAAACCAATTTATCAATCAACGACTCGTTGCTTAGAATTTACTGGAATTGGCCGGAGCTTACTCTCGTTTGAAAGTTTGGAGCTGATTCAATCTCGTAATGGAGGTTTCAGAGCTATTGATATGCGAGGTTAGATTTTAAATATTCAGTTCTTTATTCTATAATTATTGTCAATAAGTTCTACTGTATTGCTTGTATTGTTTGGGATCGCATTTGAAGTAGAAATTTGAAGCTTTTATATGATTATAGAACAACTAACAAATAAATGCAAGATACCATTTATGCTATATTCTTGTTACATACACCCCTCCTCGTGGTAAGTTTTTTGGGTTTTTGTTTTTGGCTTTGATGATACTGTCTTTCTTACTAACGCAGCGCAGAAGTAATAAACATTAGAATTCACTAAGGGGTGTTCTTTGAATCCACAAAGAATAATCTCTGAATCCACGAAAAAAATATTATAAAAGAAATTTATTGATAAAAGTGGTCTCATTCATGAGGTTTACAATCATTCTTCTTAATTGAAAAACAAAACCCACTCCTAATAAGAACATAATTACAATTAAATAGAAAGTATTAAATCCTACCCTAAAAAGACTCTTTATAATAGAGGAAACAAATCATGAATCAAAATAGAATTTGTTTCCTAATCTAATTTGACCCCAACATTAAAATTATTTCCTATTCTAAATTGGCTCTAACTTTATTACTAAAAATAAATTAAAAGCTGATTATTTCTGAAATATTGTCAAAACGGATGTTACTGATGGGATTGTGGGATTCTGCCAAGATGATTGACCCCGTCCCGTCGTGATAGGCGGTTTCTATATTATATAATATGTTAGAATCTGCTTTCCGGATTGGAAGATATTGTTGTTTTCTTGTGGTCAATTAATTATTCATATGTATCTGTATTTAGCTCGTGAAGATCCCACTTCTCCATGAATTTCATAATTATGCGTCCTACATCAGTCTCCCTTTATTGAAAGAAGCTCGACCCCGAGCTTATATTTGTTTGAATAGCAACTTCCTTGATAAATATTTTTCTTCTTCTGCATCAATCAACATCCGCCTTATACTTAGCATTGATTTTCTCCATCTGTTCTTTCACCTTTTTAGCTAGGGCTTCTTCTGAATCAAACTTTGGATGAATATTTTTCATATTATTTTAATGTGACTAACGGCACGTAGATCTACAGATGACTTGAAAGACTCCTCCAAATATGTTCCATGTTATATCTCATATTATATTGTTGGAAGTGTCATCAAAATCTTCTTAAAATTATTCACAACCTTTGCTTTCAGAGAAGAAAGTTCTCCTTCATACTCCATACACAATTCTTTCATCTCATTTGCCTCGAGCCATCCACCAAATAACTTACACATATAATTAATTACCTCCTTTCTAATTTATCATTCTCCTTCGTCTGGACAACATCAATATGTGTAACATCACTCACGGTATCATGCTGAATATCCTTCTTTATTAACATATCACCATCAACCTCAAGATGAATCTTAATGGTGGCTGAATCTTTCTTTTCAGTGGTTAGCGCCGTGTTGTCTGCCATTAGAGAAACCTTCTCCTTGACAATCTCTGTCTTAAATACCTTTGATTCTATGATTGATATAATTGATAAAGTTTTTGTTGTTGCTTCTTCGGTGCTCCTCATAAATTCAGACTCTTTCGCAGTGATGAATTGATATCTATTAGTTTTGCCATAATCATAATTAGTTTAACTTTTTAAAAACATCCATGATGAAGGTTCTTTGTCGTTCTGCTCAAGTTCTCGCTCCACCTTCTTCACTAGACAGATCGTGTCGGCTAAGGTTAGAGAATCTTTCAAAGACACCCGACATTTTTTATAGTTAGAAGGTAAGAAACCATCTTTGTCTGTGTTCGAACCGGATCATTCCCTTGATGGTATCGATTTATCAATACTTCATCCCATCATGTAGATGCTTTTCCGTTAAGTCTGTAAATCACTAATTTAACTTTTTAATTTTCTGGGATTATCTCATAATCAAAATATCTATCCACTTCACCAATTCTATGAAGGAAATCATCAGCATGAAGCTTTTCATTGAAGAATAATACTTTAATCCTCTAGCGTAATAGTTCTTCTTTCTTCGATAGCCTCTACGATCATCACCGTAGGATTTATCTTGCAGAGTTGGATCTCGTCGTTGGCGACCATCAACGCGATTTTGAACTCATCCCGGATCAGACGGTCTACTGCCAACGCAAGTCTGTCTATGAAAGTCTTTATCTGAGTAACTCTCGTCTTCAACTCATCGAACTCAATTAGGATAGCATGGGCTTCATCGCCTGCTATCAGATCAGAGAAATAGGGCTCTGATACCAATTAACGCAACACAAAAATAATAAACATCAGAATCCACCAAGGGGTGTTCTTTGAATCTACAAAGAACAATCTCCAAATCCACGAAGAGCTTGGATAGAAGAAATTTATTGATAAAAGTGGTCTGATTGATGATGTTTATAATCATTCTTCTTAAATAGAAAAACAAAGCCTACTCCTAATAAGACCATAATTATAAAAAAACAGAAAGTATTAAATCCTACCCTAAAAATACTCTCTATAATAGAGGAAACAAATCATGAATCAAAATAGAATTTGTTTTCTAATCTAATTTGACTCTAACATTGAATTTATTTCCTAATCTAAATTGACTAACTTTATTACTAAAAATAAACTAAAAACTGATTATTTCTGAAATACTATAAAAAATGGGTGTTACTGATGGAATTGTTGGATTCTGCCAAGATGATTGACTCCGTCCTATCGTGATAAGTGATTTTCATATATAATATGTTAGAATCCGTCTTCCGGATTGGGAGATATTGTTATTTCTCTGTGGTCAATTAATAATTCATCCGTATTCGTATATGGCTCGTGAAGATCCCACTTCTCCATGAATTTGATCGTTATGCATCCTACATCACTTACACATTATTATGCTTATGCCTATAGCTTCAATTGAGCAAGAATCCTTGATTCATTATGGCTTGTATTCTGATGGAGAGGAGCCAAATTTGTTATGCATGTATATAGACAGCATGAGGAAATCCTACGCATTAGATATTCCTAACCACGTGTTGGTTAATTATTTCTATCTAAATAATGAATGTGTAGGGTGTGACTAAGATACACTAATATCTATTTCATAGCCCTTACTTAATTGTATCAATTAATTTTTTCTCTTAATTTGGGTTTAGTAAGTTTGTAAATAGACAAATCAACGTTGACCGAAGCCGTTGCAAGTGCTATGTTACATAACAACCACACTGAATCTACAATCATCAAAGGAGTGCCTAAAGTCCTATTTCAATTGGCATTTACTTTCCACAGTTAGAAGCATCTTGTAGAGGACAACTTATAGCCTTTATTTTTTCCTTATTCAATATATATTTAAAAAATACCATTACTATTTAATTTTGGAATCGTAAAGGAACCGAAAGGGAAACTAGAAGGATGTCAAAACTATTTTGCTATTTATGAAAACATGAATATATGATCTTGATGTACATAAATATAAGAATAATGTAATATGACAGATCCATCCACTAGCTGAAGTCTTCAAGATTTTAATATTTGTAATTCATTTTTAGAATTTTAAGTACTCAATATATATTAAGAGTGCTTAATTATTATAATATCTTCACAACATATAGAAAATAGCCCTTTGTTCGTTATGCAACTATCTCCAATTTATGTATCATTGTAACTTTTTCATCAATGTTTTACTAAAATTCTTCCTTCTATTAAATTTTGTGACATTCTCTTTAATGAAATCTTGTTAATATTTAGATTTCATTTCAATTTAAATTTTAGCAAGATTTTTTTTGGAATTTAAAAAAATTGGCATTGGGCTTGTAGGCCCTAGGCCGATCTGGGCCGACCCTAAGCCTGAGGCGCCCAAGCTTTGGGATCAGTCCGGTCAGTGGGCCGGTCAGGACCAACACAAGATATCATGACTAGCTTGTGTTGCCAAATGAGTTTACTTTTGAATAGTAACCGTTCGCTGCTAATTAATTTGATTTTAATTCAAATCAGAAACGCTTGGCAGACATGCCAGATAACGTGACACTAGCAACAAAAATCCATGCAAAAAATAAGATAAGAAATCTTCCTAAAATGCTATAAATAGATAACCTCTATCTTTGTTCATTAAGTCCTCCTATCCAACTTGTACTACCATAATGTTCTTCCCTGAAAATTTAGTTCCTCTTTCGGTAAACTAAATTTTTTTGATAAACCCTTTTATTTATTTTTGCTTGAGCACATTTTGGTTCCGTTCTTTGATGACCTAGTCTTTCTTTGAATATCTTTATACTTGTTTTTTTTTAAGAAATTTTCTCTATGTTTCGCATAAGAAGTTACAAAAGGAAAGAAGTCTTCAAGTTTTTCATGACTTTTTGGTACCATGTTCTATATTTCCTTCCCTTTCTTGCTAAAACATAATATTGAAAATAATACTTAATCTGAGTCACCTAGCAAAAGAAAATTGTGATCTTCAAGAATCTTGTCTTTATCACTTCATTTGTCTCGAATATTTTATCTTGCTCCCCATCTTTGCTCTCATCCATACTTGTTTCTCTGTGTTGCATGGTTGAGAAATTTCCTTTTGTTTCCTCAGGGTGACGATGCATGGCATTTTGATTTATATTGTGGTATCTAGACATTGGATGGTGTTCTCAATTTTTTCATCAAGAGAAAGGTGCAAAAAATTCTTCCTTTAATGTTTATATGTATTTATATTTTTTTCTTGATTTGTTGGAATTTTTTCGTAATAAATACTATATGAGGGTATAATTGTTAGCATTATTGTTATCTATATGTTGTTTAGTTGTCTATTTTAATTTCTGCACTTTCTCGTATATTATATTCTTATTTATGTGGATAAACTATCAAATAATTCTTAAGGGCCTTTGCACTAGATCCTACAACAAAGAGATGCTAAAAAGTTAGAAAATTGTGTAACCAGCTTGATGTCCAGTTGCATTTTAGAGCCATGTACATGGAGCAGACAAATCTTACCATCAATCAAGTGTTTACAAGTGTTAGAGGGTACCTTTTTTTCCTAAAAAATATATAGTAACAGGGTTTATTGTAACCATTCTTGCTTGCAAGATCTTCTATAACTGTGTACGAACTTACTATCATGCTTTGGCAAGACATCCTTGTTCTATTGAATTTGGCAACAATATTCCTGTCTCCTTTTCACAAACTACGCAACCTCTAATACCTAAATTTGTCAAAAAACTATTTTGTTTATTTTTTAAGGATTTTGCAAAAGTCATTGGTGATGGGTCCCTCCCGAATCTAAGGTTCAAGTTTTTCTCTTTATATGAAGCATAACCGAAAAGGGAGATATAACGTTAATGTATTTAATAAAGCATAAAGTGCATGTCGCCGACCCAAATACTGGGAGACAAACGTTTTTGTTGCTATTGTTATTTATATAGGTCTTATAACCTGGTAGAATGGTAAGTTTATTTCTAAACCTTGATTTTAGGAGTTTTGTTAAATTTATCATATTATACTTCTAGTTAAACAAAAAACTCTTAGAACTTTAGGTGTAAGTATTAATCATATATTAATTTGACATAGAATGCAATCCTTACCATTTAAACATACTTCATCAAATAGTTGCGGATGCATTATAATAAGTTGTGTAACATAAAAACTATAATAAGTTGTGTAAGTATTAATGTCGGAGAGAGCGGAGCATTGATAGAGTTCAGAAGAAGGATCCTCAGACACGTCAATGTGGAATCTGAGTGGAGCAGGATAAAGCCGACTATGGTTAACGTTAGCAATGTCCATCATGGACATTAGAGCCTGCTCCGGCCATTTTGAAGCTAACTAACCCTCTTCTATTTCTATCTAGTTGGTCATCTTTTCACTTTCTCTTGCTTAATGAACTATGTGCAAATCCCATGGCTATTTATAGAAACGCTACAAAGATGAAGACATAGAAGGGACTAATGTCTTTATGTTACACAACTTATTATAGTTCAGTAAATAATAAAAAAGGCAAAACCAACATCTTTTTGGTCTTATAAATGCCAGGAAAATCTCTCTAAACTTCAATGGAAAATGCAAAATTATAGAACCTATAAACAATGAATGAATAAAGGTTCAAATTATAAATTTTGAAGAGTGTATGTGCAAAAGAGAAAAAGCCTTCTTGCACAAAATTTCATTGCTTGTATAGCAAATGGTGTAGCACTAAGCTAGAACATATGGAGGGGTTCTGTAATCTAATCTCAAGTTAACCAACTTTTCCAAGTTCCTCTTGAAATAATGTTAATAGTAGTGAGTACACTGAGTAGTAGAGACTTGTTGTCCGTTTCCAAGGTCCTAGAATAGTCTGACTGTGTGCTCTTAGGGTGAGGAGAATTGGTAAGTTAAATTGTTCATATCAGTGCCTCTGCGAAGATGCTCAATACAGATTCATACATAAGAGTTTTCTAGAAGCTTAGTAACATCTTCAAGAAGGAATTTAAGGATTTCTTATGATTTCAATTTGATTTTAAGAGGAGCAGCTTGATAAGCGCCAAGGCCCATCCTCTATGGGCAGTGAGATGATGAAATAGGCCAGTGGGCTTCAGAGAGCAGCCCAACCCATTAAGGCGATATTTGTGACCACTAACCAGAGGACCAGGCCTCAGTCTTCATGCTCAGCTGCTAACATGAGAGATTTGTGGTATAGCTCTTACTACTCTTCTCCTGTCCATAACAAACCTTGAACTCTCCTTAATGGGTTAATGAAAAGACAATTCATGTCAGTTTGTAATTAATGCAATTCGTAGACACTCCTTAATTGGTTTCAAGTCTTCTAATAATCCAGCTATCTTTTGCAGAACCAAAAAACAAGCGTCATGTTTCTCTCGTGCACTTAGGTAACTGTGCAATTAAGTTTGTAACGTTTCTTTTTAGAAAAGTACTGTAATTTGTGTCAAAGATATTCAAATGTTTGACTAAAACTAGTTTTACTGTAGAAAGGGATAGAGAGAAGAATGTGACACACTGTCACATAATGATGAAGTTAGCTTAATCGATACCACCAAAGAGCATTAGCCCTCGAGCTAATTAATGTGCCAATCCGAATTCATGCATTTTCTGCATGACAAGTTAAAAAACTGTATATTCCCGAAGTCAACTCTGCTCAAGCTTTAACCCTTCCAATTTTACTCCCTCCTTTGTCTTCATCTCCATTGCCTTTCTATAAATAGCCACAGATTTGAACAAAGTTTATTCAGCAAGAGAAAGTGCAAAGAGGGTTAACTAGATAGAGTAGAGGAGAGTAGAGGAGTGTTATTAGCTTAAGAATGGCAGAGGCAAGCTCTAGTGATGCAATGGTGATTGCCAACATTAACCATGGTCGCTTTTATCCAGCTCCGCTCAGATTCCACATTGATGTGGTAATGGATCCAAGAGTCTTCTTCTGGACTCTCATAATGTTCCACTCTGCCATGGGCACCAGGTTCATGTATGTAGTGAATTACAGCTTTCCGTTTCGTTGTTTAGCATTTTCTTCCCTCCAAATTTAATAAGACGATACATGCATCTGGTTTTATTAGTTATTCAAGAATAGTATGAGTTGATTAACTAATTATTTGATTTTATTGCTTTCTTTGATGGACAAGGCATCCTTTGATTGGAGGGGAGAAACTGGACTTGTTTCTCTTGTATTTTTTGGTTACACAAAGAGGAGGAATAGAAAAGGTGATGTTCTTTAAGTTCTATATTAATTTTGATTTTTATATATACTTAGTTTATTCTTTTTGTAATAATATACTAAATTTAATCTTTTTGCAACGTAAGGCAATTGTTGACAACAAGTGGAGAGAGGTAATTACAGAACTCAACATACCGAGGACTGTGACCAACAGGTCCTTTGTGGTGAAGAAGCACTATTATAAGATTCTGTTCCATTATGAACAGGTCTATTTCTTCCGGCGTCAAGGACCTGTTGTTGCTCCATCGGGTGAGTCCTATATAGAACAGTTGATGATCATAGTTATGGCTTTCACTGATGAAATTATGAATCTACAAATTTATGTTCTAAATGTAATTCATCTTTTTAGCTAAAGAAGTTATTGACTAAAAAAAAATCTAGATGACCTGTTAATAACTTGCAGGAAATCAGCCAGGGAGTGATCATGGTCCTCAGATTGTTGACAACTCGAGGCTCGTTATAGCAGAAGGTGACATCTAGTTTTTTTAGTTTTGATTGTCGTCTTTATCTGTTATTAGTTTCATCACTTGATATCATTATCACAATCACTCTCCTGAATAAATACCAAGCTTATAGATTTTATTCATCTTGTGCATGTTTTAACTTAAGAGAGTAGGATTCTTTCTTGTTTTAGGCCTCTAGTCATGTTAAACCTCTGAC